ACCGTGGGGTGCCATGTGTCTGTGTGTGCCTGTGTGTTTGTGTGTCTGTGTCTGTGTGTGTGTGTGTGTATGTAGGGCACACCGTGGGGTGCCATGTGTCTGTGTGGTGCAGCGTGTGCTCCCGTGTGCACATGGAGGTGTGGGTACGTGTGGCACAGCATGTTTGCACACCGGTACGAGTGCAGACATGAATGTTTTGTGTGTGCCCCTGTTTGCCCAGCAGTGCACATGTGCTCATGGCACGTGTGTGTGCAGCCCGTGGGCACTCCCAGAGCGTGTCACAGTGAGTGTGCACGGACGGTGTTCCCCGTGCCCACACCTCATCACAGCGTGTGGATGCCCATGAGTGCTCACAGCCCCCTGTGTGTGCCCATGGTGTGTCTGTGTGTGCTGTATGTGTACATGCATGTTGTTCTCTGCACACACGGTGTCAGGTGGGCATGTATGTGCACCCACTCTGTGCCTGCCCAGGGTGTGTGTGCGTGTGTGTGTGTGTGTGTGTGTGTGTGTGAGTCTGTGTGTGCCTGGGCTTTGTGTGTGAGCCTCTGTGTGTCCTGGGGTGTCCGTGGGTGCCTGTGTCCACCCGGGGTGCATGTGTGATCCCTTGAGGGGTGTGTGTGAGAGACAGAGAGACTGTGTGTGCCCCAGGGGTGTGTAGATGCCCATGTGCACCCTGGGGTGCGTGTGTGAGCCCATGTATGCTCTGAGGTGTTGTATGTGAGCCCATATGAGCCCTGGGGGGTGTACATGTGCCCGTCTGTAGCCGGGGGTGTGAGGGTGCCTGTGTGTGCTCCGGGGTGTATGTGGGTGTCTGTGTACACCCGACTGGGTGTGCAGACGGCCATGTGTGCCCCAGAGTGTATGTGGGTGCTCATGTGAGCCCTGGGGAACATGTGGATGCCCGTGTGTGCCCCAGGGTGTATGTGGGTGCCCGCTAGTGCCCAGAGGGGTATGTGGGTACCCGTGTGCACCCCGTCGGGTGTGCGGGTGCCCGTGAGTGCCCCAGAGTGTGTGCGGGTGCCCGTGCGTACCCGGGGTGTGTGCGGGTGCCCGTGAGTGTCCCGGGGGTGCGGGGAGGGCGCAGCCGGCCGCTCTTACATAAAGGCTGCAATGCGGGCAGCGCGCCCCGGGCCCCGGGGCAGGACCCGCACTGCGAGGCTCGGCCTGGGGCTCCGGGGGGCTCCGGGGGGTTCCGGGGGGTTCCGGGGGTCTCCTCGGGGCCGGGGCGGGGCGGTCGCGGGGGCGGCGG